TCTAAAAATCCAACTAATTAAAACGATTAAATCAGCAAAGGGTTTACCACAATTAAATTATTATTATTATGCAAGTGTAGTAGGCAGTCTAAAATTCAGATGTTGTGGGTGGTACCATGACAATTCTCACAGACTTGAAGTCAGAGTTGCTACATTAAAATGATGCTTCCTCTTTCAAAGATTCCTTATTAAAGCATAGCCCGTGGTCAGTTTAGCAATGACACATCCCCTATAATACTACATTAATTCATAAATGACTTTTGTTCTTACATTGTTCAAACAAGTTGCACCTTTGGGAGTTAGAATCAGGATGTTATGGACGGCGGAAGAAAGCCATGTTGTACAGAACAAAGTGTTACATGCGGGACGAGACGGACAGATACAGACACAAAGCAACAGCTTGTGAGACTTTAAAGCCTTTACACTGAGCAGCTGTTTCATTTAAGGTGACAATAAGCATGACATGTACAGAGAAGCCAAAACCATACAAGGCAATACCAGCTTCCCTGCAATGAAATGCAGACAGCTTGGACGCACAAGGAGCGCACATTGACGGCAGGAAGGAGAAACACTGCTGCTGAAAAAGCCGCTGAAAAAGTGTCGATGTTCAGACTGCTACTGCTTTCTGTAGTCTTTCTGAAAGACCTGCAGCCCCCCGCATGACAGAGCTACAGGTGAAGGGATTTCAACACCTAACTATGCATGGTGGTGGACTGTGTGTACTGAAGAGTCTCTTTACAGTATGGTGATTGTAACGTTTATTCTACCACGACTTATTGTGAACTTTAACCCTGTGAGTTGAAGCCTCAGGTAATTTTATTAGAACCAAAAAAACAAACAAAAAAAACAAAACAAACTACAACAAGTCTACTATTTTGTCTAATTTAATTTTTTACATCAAAATGTGTCTTGTTTATTTTTAATGAAATCTTAAGTGTAAAAGCATTCAATTAGCTTTCCAGGGACTATAAAGAATAACACGAGAATCTTAAAAACATTAAGAATAAATAGTTTTAGGCCTAATGCCTATAACCAGGAAGATATCCAGACCTTCATGTGCATCCACATTTACAAAAAAGTTTGGATGATGTACAAAACCTAAATAAACACAGAATGCAGTGATTTGCAAATCTTATAAATCCAATCTTATTTTATTCACACTAGAAGACAGATTCAAACCGAACACTAAAACCGAAAAGTTTAACTCTCATGAAAAATACTGAATAATGTTTAATTTGATGGCAGGAACAGATATCAAAAACGTTCAAAGGGAGAGGGGGGAGGTAAGAAACTGGTAGAGTAATTGGTGCTACAAAGAAACAGTTGGAAGAACATTTTGCAACTAATTAGGTTAATCAGCAACAGTTGAGAATTAAAAATGTGCCGATGCAATAATGTGCACAAGAAAAAAGCAAAACAAAATAAAATCCCTTGTTAATAAATTTTTGAACAATTTCAATGTTCCTTAATGGAACATTAGTCTTTAAATATTTCACCATCTACAGCACATAATATCAGAAGATTCAGAAAATCTGGAGAAATCTTTGTGTGTGAGCGCCAAGGCCAAAACTCTGAATTCGATGCCCGTGATCTCCGGGCTCTCAGTCAGTGCTCTATTAATAACAGGCATAATTCTGGCCTCAGGCACGCTTCCAAAAGTCACTGTGTGTGAACACAGTTCACAGTGCCATCCAAAAACGTGGGTTAAAGTTCTATCACGCAAAGAAGAATCCAAATTTGAACAGATATGATACAGATGCCCCACATTTTGAAACATGTTGCTGCCATTAGTGTTAGAATATAATTATTGGTTTATGAGATCTGCAAATCAATGGTTTCAGTGTTACCAAATTTTTACTCATTATCCCCAATTTTTTTGCAACTGGGGTTGCATGTTGACCCTAAATAAGCAACAAAACATTAAAAGAAAGAAAATTTGCCAGACTGCTTTTTAGTGTGTATTTGTTACAGTGTTACCTGTCAGTCATGCTCATGCACCAGAAGCAGCAGCAAGAAGAGGGAAGAACAGAGAAAGGCGGTGGGCAGTCCCAGCATCCCGTGAGAGTGTGTGGATGTAAGCAGCATGTGCACGTGCGTATTCACGGCACTCACCTTTGTAGACGTTGAGTGTGATGGTTCGGACTGCGATGCGGACCATGCTTTCAGGGTGGTTGAAAAACTTAATGGCCTCGGTGTACAGGGCAAAGTCATTAGTGTGCTGTGTGTGGGAGACAGAGAGTGGGCGCTGGTGAGCAACACAAGGCACTGCACCATTTTATTCAGGATGCAAATGACCACAGAGAGAGATAGAAAGCTGCTAAAGGAGACAACAGTGCTGAATTTTGAAGGTTAAAACTTAACAGGAGCAGTAATCTTATAACATTACTGTTGTTTTAATGAGAAAATACTTAAAAAAAAAAATACAAAACACTGTTTTGTGAGATTCAGAGGGGTCCACTACAAAGCTAGATTAGTAAGTTAGTGAGCTATGTTGATTCTAAAATCAAGAGCTTTCTGCATCATGTAAGTGGCTCTCTTTCCCACAGGCTAAATCACTGTAGAGTTTCGTTTTAAACTGGCTGGAAGAACCACTTTTTTTTTTTTATAGATTCTCTGCTGCAGTTTCATCTATGCAATCTGTTAAACTGAAAATCACTAAAACCAATTTGCATAAATTTGGTGGTTCGGAAAATATTTTTTAAATCTTAGTATCCTTGATTCTAATCTGCTGCTTAGTAACAGCTGGAATTGGAGCTACTAGAACACAGTACACACATTCAAATTCTAATTGATTTGACTTTTACGCGCTGACAATCTAAAGCGATTTCTATGTCTCCTTTATTAAGCAGTCTGACAGTAACGTTTAAACTGGATACTATTATATCTTAAAGTTTCAAAGCTCTAATGTGCAGCTGTCAACATAGAAATAAACAGCACAGCAGAGAGTGCACTCAGTAATAAAATTAAAATTAAACTGTTACTTTATTGCTATGTGTGCTCTTCAAATTAATGATTTTCTTCAGCATTAATTTCTTGGCCTTTTGCAACACCGTTGAAAGGTTTTTATTTTTCTTTACTTTGACTATGTCTGATTGGAAGAGGTGGCACTCAAGTGTGAAGAAAGGGTCACATGACCTGTGGAATGCTCCTTTTTATATGAGCGTGCACAGAGCCTTGACTAGAGAACCCAACTTAACAGAGACCTTATAACCACCGTTGTGATACCAATCAAGCCAGCTAAGCTAAAGAAAGCCCAGCTGTGTCAAACGTCGCTTGTAGTATATCCCCCTGGACCACCTCACGTACTGCTAGACTCATAATAATCTTGTGGGCATTGCAGTGTTGTTTGTTTTGCCATTAACTTTTCAAGTTTTCATCTTTTAACTATAAAATTCTAGTATTGGCATAACAGTTCCTACAAGAAATTTGAACAAACCAATGTACTTAACTCTGAGCATAATGAGCTTAACAGCAGGGACTTCTTCTTCTAACCACAATAAGATTTTAGAAGCTCAACACGTCTCAACATACCAGCACGCTCCACTTAGCAATTCTGCACAACAATCTGATAACTCTGGATACTACTGTTATCTCTCTCTGTGCCAGTGCCCGATTGTCCACCCGACCATTCCTCAGTTGCTGTGACCTCCAGGCAGTCATAGCTGCGAGTCAAGCATTTAAACAGTCACCCAGAAGTCACAGCAAATGGGGAGTTCTGAGCCTGACACCAAACCCAAACCGACTTTTTGCAATAGTTTTAGAAATGTGACTTGTGTAGTTCTGAGAAGGAGGATAGCTGAGCAGTTATCAAACGGCGCCATCTGCAGGAGAATAAACTATAGCTAAGACTCCAAAATATGAATAATAATGATAATCAGACTAATAGATTAATTTAAAATATTTATATAACATATAATAATATAAACTGCTTAAAAAAGGTTTTAATTATTTTTAGAATAAAAAAATATATTTGACTTTAGACCAACAATGTGTCAAGTTAGTTATTAACACTAGGTATTTGTTAACACACAAATTAAAACAAAAATGTAATAGTTAACTTAAAAAGACATAAATGTTCTCAGATCTACACAACAGGTCTGGTTTTGGCTTCAGGGGTAATGCTACCATCAACAGTACACCAATAACTTTCCCCAGCACAAAGAGGCCAAGGGAAAGACTATAGATATCGCTGAAACATCAGAGGTTAGCAACATCACAAATGAATAGCGTGGTCAGAGTTCTTGAAAACAATCTAAAACCTCATTTGCAAACAAATGACACACAAACACACAATATGTATCATATAGAAAAATAGATTTAGAAACAAGACCAAGAAATAATGTGTTTGTGCCACGTTCTAAAAATTCAGTTATTTGCTGTGTGCAGTATCTCTTAAATCAATGCTTCTACACAGGAAGCCAGTATTTTGACAGAGAAAATATGCTGCTGATTTGCAGAAGCTCTGTTTCTATGTTCTGCTGCTAATCTGCATGTTGGGATAAGCACACTGATAAGCTTTACTGGCAGAAAATGCATGTGACAAATACGGTTCCAGACTGAAACTTACTTTAAGTATTTTTATTTGTTTCATTGAAGGCATTTCATTTCTAAGGATTGTGATTTTATAACAAAATCAACACAGGCACAAGTTCAAGTGTTGTGCAGTAATTGTGATTATATATACACACAAAAGAACCACTCAGATGCCTTATTTTTTCCTGTGCAGTCTACAGCTTCCTCATTAAACCACAAAAACAACACTGCACATGTGGAAACATCCTGCTCGGCCTGCTGGTGTAGCTGCATGCTACTCTCTGCCCCTCAACTGAACAGAGTTCACACAATAAAAAGTATGCCTACAGCAGGGCAACAGGAAGTCAGTACTACAATTCCTTTTGAGTTGATTTGTCAGTGGGTTGCTAAGAGAGTTTGAAAAGTGGCAAAATGTAATGACAAAGTTAACAATAAGGAGGTGAACTGAAGTTTGCACAACTGTCCCCCAAGCACTATTTGTATATAATTTCATATTAAAATAAGTGCATGTGTGTAGTAAATTAGATAAAGTATTATATGTATTCCTTCAAATTACTTACTGAGGGGTAAAAAAATTCAATTTTTATCATTTGCAGTTTCAGACAGTTGGCTGATATTACAAATTTGCTTCATTGCACACTGCTTCCATCCTTAGTGTCTTATGTTTCACCACTTCCTTCCCTCCCTCGTATCTCTCATAAAGATATGCAGACACTGAGCAGAAGGTTCTCCGTGTTTTGTTAGCCTATCTTTTTCCTCTCTCACATCATCCTTTCTCCCCCCCGTGGCCTTACCTCATTATAGAAGAAGTGCACGGTGTGGTTGTTAAGTTTGAGTGACAGGGTCTTAAGGAAGGAGATATAATAAGCCATGATCTCCTCATCCGAGAAGTCAAACTTGTGGACAATAATGGAGTTGACGTGGTTGTTTGATAAGAGATAATCTGTAATGAGAAAGGAGGCGACACGTTTAGGGTACAGAGAAGAGATGGCTTTTATTAAACCTCCAGACTGTCATGCAATTTATCTAATAGCTCAGCATTTACAGAAAATGACACAGAGTTAAAAGCTGAAGGTGGACTGATTCATTTCACTACCTTAGGTTTTCTTTCACTGTTATTGGAGCAAAGGTGAGGTAAAGCTCTTGTGGTGACTGCAACACCTTGCTGAAATACCAACTTTAGTTTATGTTTATAACAACCCATTGTGAAACGGACAGTATATAATCTACTAAGATTTTGGTTCCCCAGTAACAGATTTAACACTGTCTGTGAAGTTGGATTTAAGAAATAAGTGCTGAAAGTTAAAGTTTTTAGAACTTCTTTAGTGCCATCTTGTGCCAGTTACAGACTTACATTAGTTTATGTTACCTAACCACCGTTAGAACTGATAACTCAGTGGAGTCTAAAAGGAGACTAAAACTTAAAAATCAGTCTAAGGGGATCACTTTTGTACTGCCCCTCACTGCCATGTATTAGCTGTAATATTCGGTTTTGCAAAGCACTTGAAACCAGCGTGAAGGACAGTCTGTTCAATCAATGTTTGACCATGTGGTAACCTGTTATGTTGTAAACTGTTTAGGTGTGCTTGGGAAAAGAGAGACTATTTTATTGTATAAAACAGGCCTCATTGACTTGGAATTTTGACTCCAGCTGGTTGGTCCAGTAAACCAACTGTCACCTGAGAAAAACAGATTCTCCTTCACACATAGCTCATTTACAAAGTGCTTTATAAACCTGAATATTGTAGCTAACAGGTGGATTATCCCATTTCAGTGCAGCTAGCCAAACAATGAAGAACCCCTTACTGCTTAACAGACAGAGAGTTAAAGTACAAAGTATAGACTTGGTTTGTTAACAACTGAACATAAACTGTAGTACTAGAAAACACAAGTTAAAAAAATGGAAACACGATTAAAGTTTATACGGTTGAAAAGAGAATAAAGGGTTAAAGAAGCTAGCTGTGATTATGTTTATTTCAAGTATTTAATTAATGATATAAAAATATAAAACAACGGCTTGCTAAAAATGTGAATACGAAGTTGTATATTATTAGAAATGGTTAATTATTAGCTGTACACATTTAAAGTACATATAGTTACATTAATGTATGGATAAACTGTGGATTTGTTAGCTAACAACACAAACTAAATAGCTAGAAACATAGTCACATGAAAGAAAGTTTTCACAGACTTTATACCGTCAGTGCTTTTTTTTTTTTTTTTTTTTTTTACAAGGTAAGCAGTAGGCAGTTGCAAAAAAACAGGAAAAGAGTAAAAGACAAAAGTGGAAATGACCCCCTTAGACTTCTTTATTTTTCCCTGAGTTAACGGTTCTATCAATAGTTACCTAACATAAACTAATGTCAGTCTATTAGCAGCATTAGTCAGAGAGTGAAATGATGGAATACTACTTACATAGGGAAGTCTCATGGCTAATGTTTTCAAAAAGTATATTGAGGGTCTGGAGGAGCTGGACACACACGTAACGTCCAGACTTCTGACGGAGGATGTTCAAGAAGAAGGCAAACATGTTCTTCTCCAGGAAGAAACTGGTCACAGACAGAAGACACAAGCAGGTAAAAAAATTTAATTCAAGTTGACTGAATAACATAAGACCATCATAAAATGGACAATGTCTCTTAAAAAAAGAGAGAGACATTACCCTGCTTACTAATATTATGGTTAGGTGTTTATTTATCATTTTCATACAGTATTCTTAATTTACAGCACTGTGCACTTGAACAACCTCTGAGTGTTGGGTAAAGACTTTTGCACAGTACTGTAATTCTTATTCTTATCACAGTTGTTCTACTCACTACACCCAAATGCATCTCAGCTGACTCTCACTTTACTTTCCAGAATATTTCAACACTGTTAGACCATCATAATTTATGTGCAGCAATATACTGACTTTCTGCACGTACAGACCGCAAACTTCACCTTTAAAAAAATGATCTCAGACTAGTTTTGTGTTTAATATTATGCTCTCATTTTAGAGAAGTAAACACTTCAGTACTTTGCATCATAGAAACTGGATAATGTTTAAAATCATCCCTTTGACAGCAGAGTAAGATGTCACTTTAACTCCCACATTAGAGTGCCACCTTCATATCTGTACTTAAAAGTGATGAATCGCACACTAATACTTGAACTGGGACTTACTCAAACACAGAGCTGTCATTCTGGTCCCCCCAGATGAGGATCTCTGTGATCGAGCGGATGGTCTCCACCAGAAGGTTCCTGTTGTGATCTGTTACTGTTGTGTTTTTTGTCAAGACGTGGTACATATACCTGATAGAGTTACAGAAATAAGGTGAAAATGTGAAAGAGGAGGTGACAAAAGCCATTAGTTTAAATTTGACTGAAGTCATTAACATTCACATATCTGTATCTAAACGTAGCAGGACAAAGATTGCACTGATCTCGTGACATTGCAGAAAGCTGTTAGATAAACCAAATAACGTTTCAAAGGAATATTGACAGATGCAGTAGCGCTGTTACTGGCTAGTGCAGTGTAATAACCACTAACCTAGAAACTTGTGCACACAAGAGGTTTCCCTCATTTTGCCTCACTAGATCCCTGGCTCGGGATTTTATGTGCTGATTCAGGTTGATCGAAATCACCTCTCAATGTCATGCACCTGTTGGTGTTAAACGAATGCATGTTTTCGTACTCTGGTAAAAGCCAGTGTTTTCCAGCATGAGCTCTTTTAATTCAGCCTCCATGCAAGCTTTATAAAATTGGTAAATACAGTTCTTCGTGTATTAATGATATTCAGATTAAAATTTAATTTAAACACTTAATTTATCGTCTAAAATAGTGTCAATTCTGTTTTTGTCTACAAGGACCACATCAAATTTTACTTACCTCGCAAAACATAATAAAAAAATCCAGTAACCCTTGCTTTATTACAATTTGATTGAATAAATGCATTTACACACATTCACTACTGCTAAATATTTGGCTAAATATAACGCTGGTAAATAACGACTGTCGTTTTCAACCAGCGACCACTTAGGCTAACATTAGCTTATTTCATGCTAACTACTCACTTCAAATGGTCCAGGGAGTGGATATTTTTCGCTTTCCCCTGTCCTCCAACCCAGCTCCGTGACCGGCCAAACATGGTTGCGGTTTTAATGGGACTGCAATTTTGCCGGGCGCCTTGTTTTGCTAGTGTTAGTGTTCGTATCTATCCATTACACCCACTTTGCCGTTCGGCTAGCTGCTTAGCAAACAGGGGGTGATAGGCGGTGATGGCAGCCACTGCGGGGTCATTACGTAATAGCGTGGGCAAAGGGAGTTGTAGTTCTTTTTCCTATGAGAGGGTTTACAGTAGAACTGAGAAAAACTACAACGAATGACTTCCCACGCTATCAATGATGGTTAAAGCACGCGACCATAACTGTTATAGTGATTGACAGCTCTAAGGCCAATCAAACGCCGACGCTTTGGTTGGTTGCTGGTTGGGACTGTTTTGATGCGGTTGGCAGAAATGTTAAGACGGGACATTATAAACTATAAATAATTCGACGTGTGTTTTTGTGAATAGTTAGTCTCTCTCTGTCCGGGTGTGTAAACAACAATTCCGCAGTAGTTTTCTTGTATTTTTTTAGACTGACTGCTATGCTACTTTTTTTTTGTTTTTTAGCTCTAGCCACCAGCTGGCATGGCGTGAATTCAACAAACTCACGGAGTCAATGCCAAGAATGCGTCGAGCTAACTGGCTGTGATATTTGAATGTGTTCCTCTGGTTATAATTAGCTATGGACTTTATGTTGTTTAGCCCGCATAATTTCCTGTCGTTTTCTTCTGGACCGTACAGATAAGCTACCACATTGAGGGCTTCCTCTGAATCGTCGTTGCAGGCCAGAACGGGCCGAAATGGATGCCCCAATCCCAGCTACCCACACAGACTTCTAACGCTGACAGCAACAACTTCAGGCCACATACACAAGAACCCCTATCCGTGGCTTTCTTTATTTTCTATGACACACCAAATTTATGCCCAGCTAGATTCGGTGGAATCGCTCCTGGACGAACTCCCATATATGTTTTATTTGGGCCTGTTCTTTGTCAACGTCCTGATCCTCTATTATGCCTTCCTGATGGAGTACATCGTCCTGAATGTGGGGATAGTATTCCTGCCTGAGGATATGGACCAGGCACTGGTGGACCTCGGGGTGCTGTCCGACCCGGCCTCTGTTCCCTATGATACGGACACGGAGCTGGATGTGTTTGAGGGATATCTGGAGTGACAAGGCGGACCTGGAAGGAAAAAACGGAATAATCAGATTTTGATAATAATGTTGCTGGGATCAAGAGGTCAGGCTGGTGCTCCCTGGTCAGCAGTTTGTTGGGAAAATGCCTCAAAGTGGTTGCTTCTTAAGCTTTTTGTTCAGAGAGGCATATCAGGCAAAAAGTAAGCAAATGGCACAAGTGCAGTCAAACGTTTAAGTATTTAGACAGTCATAGTTTTGCAATTTTGATTCCCTACACCAGGACACTGTGATTCAAGTACAGACTGTCAGTTTTTCTTTTGCATTAACTTTTTAGGAATTACAGCCTCTTTTTATACATAGTCACTCATTTACATAGGCTGAAAAGTAGTTCTTCAAGTGTTCATTTGGTGATGATTTCCATGGGTTCAAGACTTCTAGACAAAAGATTTTTATCCATGCAGTTCTTGCATTTAAAATTTAAAATCCAGTTACTTTCGAAGCTCTGAACACGGAGGACTGCATAAAAACAGCTGTAGTTTATAAACTGTTAAATACTTTTGTGCAATCCCTTACTTAAAGCTGAAAGTCTGCGCATGATTGTTTGATTGTTAAAATCCACCGTGGTGGTGTACAGAGGCAAAGATTGTGTAGTTGTCCAAACACCTAAGGACTGGATTGTAACAGTCAATAAGTAAGCACCATATATTCAGTACACTTTAACAGCCAGTATATCTGTTATAAAGTCAGATTTAAAAATCAAGCTCTGCCTTTTTATGATGCAGTAAATGTTTTTTTGTGTCTCTAGGTTGTCTCGACTTAAAGGCAGGTAGCCTGAGGATTCATCACTTGCAGACTTATGATCTGTGACTGTTTAATGAAAAGAGCACTTTGGGAAGGCATGTTCCCAGCAGAATATCAAGCAACCACAAGAGGTTAGCGCTGGCCTCTGCTACCCTCACTTTGGATACAGCGAAAATGGAAGCACAGCATGGTTCAGGAGAACGGAGAGAGACAGCTGTTCCCTTTGGAAGAAAAAGTAATGTTGCCAGGGATGTGGATCTATCCAGGAACTGGAAGTTCACTCTAAAGGCAAAATGTGTTTGAAACTTGCCGCATCAGCCACGGTGTGATGTCCTACAATGTGACATATGTCAGTAGAACTGGTGAAGTGCAGGAAAACAATGTCCAATAAGCGTGATGAATACTTAATCACTCACAGAACAACTTAAGTCACCGTTTTATCCTCTAATACAGAATCCAATTCTCTCTTAAGAACATCCTCGCGGAGATTTGGGTCCACTAACATCACCCTTACTCTCAGAAGCACAGCTAAGAATTATGGAAGCACTGGTGAAGCATAACACTGTCTCTGGACTGAGGCGGGGAAGATGTAGGACATAAAAGTGCCGTAAACTTTTTAATATTGTCACTACGCCATTCACCACAAGTCAGAGAGTATTAAAGTGTCGAGAAAGAGGTATTTCTTTAATGCTATACCCCTTTGTTTAACCTGCATCGCTTCAGTAATTAGGCGAAGTGGTGACCACTGTGATCACAGCTGGCCAAACCTGTCAAATGTCTGAAAGGGAGCCTCTAAAGAAAGGCTTCATTCTTTTCTTTAAAAAAAACAAAAAAACAATTTACTGAGAGACGAGATGCATTATGCTGACCGTCTTCAGAGGATTTTGAGTCAGCTGTTTAATTCCTTGTGTTCTCCTGCTTGTGCTGTCACAAATTTAGAGCTGCTTTTTATGAAGTGTATATTCTCAACAGCAATAATAAACTGGATTCAAGCAATGGATCAGTTACATAGTTATACAAATGAAATGGTTCACAGGTAACCATTTCATCCACGAGCTTGGCCAATTGTGGATGGGGAGAAAGTAAATATAAATTGTCTATATTTTGCTAGGCAGCTTTTCACAGAGATTGCTGGTGCTGGTGTTTTCCCTCGTCAGCACTCAATATAGGGAGATAATAATCCACAGCCACACTGTGTAATTAACTAATAGGGGAAAAAAGGGATTAAAAAGTCTTGCTGTGATTCAAGAACATGGATGAAAACACAAAGTAATTCAAGAATGTTTTTCAGAGAGTTGGCACCAGAGTTTAGCAAAAAGCCGATCATTGATACCTGATACCAAATCGTTTTTTATGTGGATTAAGGCCTTGGTGATATTTTGGTAGTTGTTTTTGTCAAGATGTCCATAGCGGAGTTTTTTTGGAGGGTAAACGTGTTTGGAAACAGTATTTAGATCACAGGGCACTAAAACTCAGGATACTAATAAAATATATAGTATGAATACTGTGTGTATTCCATACGTTTATGTGGAATTTAATCAAACAGGAACAGAATCAATACGAGGTAAGGCTGTGAATGGGAGATAATATTTAAGGAAGTGTGTAATCTCGCTGTCTCATGCTGTAAACAATTTTAACAGGCGGCTTTCTTTTCATTGACCAATGTCAGTACAACAGTGCTTCTTAGTTTTGGTCTGAAAACAGTAGCATCTGAAGCTGTAACAGATTTCCTAATTTTGTACAAAAGTCAGTGGCCATGCTGTTTCCCAGGCATGCTACCCTGTTCAGGGCCACCATCATCATCATCATCTCGTGGGCAACATACAACCTGTGCTTGTGTCGTCCCACCGCATCAGCTTCTTTGCAGACATGCACATGCTCAAATGAACTGTAGAGTTTTATTTTCCATTGTGTATTTAATAAACTTTGAGCGAATGCCAGCTTGTAGCCTCTTTCTTTAAACCATCAGCTTGTGTATTTCTGCAGGTGCGAGGGTTTTATTAATAATCATGTGCATCAGCGTGATGTCATATTACTTTTTAACCACAAGAGGGAGTGAGTGCAACAGAGAACAGCAGCAGTAGCGTCAAATTGTGGGAATTCTTTGAAGTCTCCACAATTCGATGATGGAAATCCCCAACAATGCTAAGTGTTCAGATTTGTTAGAATTTGCAAAGCGTGGTGGGAGTACGCTCTGCATGATAACTGCCAGATGTGACGGCCTGTTATTTGATTCGACTCTGAGAAGCGGTGCTGCCAGGAACTGTAGATGGACATTTGCTTACTTTCAGGTCTATTCATAATGTGAATCCAGTATTTTCCCTTTCTATTTGTTGAGATTCAATCTCGACCCAGTTCTTTAATTACCAACAATTCATGCTTCACGTGTGAGATTAGTAATGAAGTATCTCACAAATGTAATTTTGTTTTTTTTATCACTTCGACGAGTGCGCACGCAGAGACTGATGTTCTTAAAGGTCAGTTTGCATCGAAATGGAGAACAGAAACATGCAGTTAAGGAAGTGAAAAGAAGGGTTTTTTTCAAAAAACCCACTGAATTCAGTGAACACAGGGGCATCAGTGGAAAGAAAACACTATAAAAATAGTAGTAGGGTGACAGTGTCAAAGCATTTTATTATTATAAAACTAACCAACAATCAGTACTGTATAATTTATAGCCAGAAAAACACACCGTTATCCTCCCCCTCTCTCACACACACACAGCACCACAAATACACAAATAAAGGCAGATAATGTCTGTGAAGGTTCTCAGTCATCCAGGTCATCGTAGTCAAAGGAGCTTGCAAAGAAAAGCGTCTGGACTTCTTTAAGTTACTTGAAGACGTTTCACCT